AAAGTTTCTTTTTATCAATGTGTATGCTCCGAATGTAGGTTTACAGCGCACTGAATTATTTAGGAAGTTAAACACTGAAATTAGAAAACATGTTGATGAGGGAATGCGTGTAATAATGGGAGGTGATTGGAATTGTACCACTAATTTTGTATTGGATAGAAATGGAGAAGAACGTTTCACAAAAAAAGAAAGTTTTTTTGTGAAAACTTTAAATGTTTTTGGGAAAAATGGAAACTAGAAAAGGAACATTTTGAAAATGTAATTCAGTGGTGGGAGATAGGAAAAGTTCAAATCAAGATTTTTTGTCAGCAATTTTCTTATAATAGTACGGTGATTGTTAAGAGAAATATTGAAAGGTTGGAGAAAGATATTAATGGTATGGAAAATTTGCTTGATTCGAATGCTTTGGGTGAAACTAATGATTTAAAGAAAAAGAGATTAGAGCTGAAAACTCTTCTAGAGGAAAGAGCAAAAGGTGCCTTGATTCGAGCAAGGATATCTTCCATCAAGGAGATGGATGCTCCAACAAAGTTCTTTTTTAATCTAGAACGTAAAGTAGTAAAGAAAAAAAATATGCTGTACCTTCGGAAGGGCAATGGCACATTAACTTCTAATAATAGAGTTATGAATGTTGGTATATCTCCTTGTGGTTTTTCTGATCACCATATAGTGACTATTGATTTTAATACTACAAGGGTATCGCATCCAAAATCTTATTGGCATTTCAATGTTAAACTGTTACATGATACGTTTTTTTGTGAAAACTAGAAAAGGAACATTTTGAAAATGTAATTCAGTGGTGGGAGATAGGAAAAGTTCAAATCAAGATTTTTTGTCAGCAATTTTCTTATAATAGTACGGTGATTGTTAAGAGAAATATTGAAAGGTTGGAGAAAGATATTAATGGTATGGAAAATTTGCTTGATTCGAATGCTTTGGGTGAAACTAATGATTTAAAGAAAAAGAGATAAGAGCTGAAAACTCTTCTAGAGGAAAGAGCAAAAGGTGCCTTGATTCGAGCAAGGATATCTTCCATCAAGGAGATGGATGCTCCAACAAAGTTCTTTTTTTAATCTAGAACGTAAAGTAGTAAAGAAAAAAAATATGCTGTACCTTCGGAAGGGCAATGGCACATTAACTTCGGATCCCATTGAAATGAGAAAAATTGCAATGTTTTTTTATGCTGAACTTTTTGGGCCCAAAGACTGTGATCCTGCGAGTATGGATCAGTTATTGAAAGGACTACCTAACTTCAAACCTGAGGACAGAATGACATTGGATAAAATGGTTACTTATAAAGAACTTTCAGAGGCTGTGATGCAACTGTCCACAGGACGTGCCCCGGGTGTAGATGGCTTGCCTGCTGAATTTTATAAATCATTTTGGAATGTTTTAGGAGAAGACTTTTACAATGTAATTGGTGAATGTCTCAAAAGGTATTTTACCCAGCAGCTGTCAAAGGGCAGTATTATCACTTCTGCCTAAAACTGGTGACTTAGGGTTGTTAAAAAATTGGCGCCCTGTATCTTTAATGTGTCAAGATTATAAAATACTGTCTAAATGTTTAGCAAATAGATTAAAAAAGTTTAAGTATTGTTGTGACAAATGAGCAAACATACTGTGTTCCAGGACGCACAATAATGGATAATTTATTTTTAGTAAGAGATGTAATTGACCTCTCTATGAGAAATAATTTTAATACTGGTTTATTATCAATTGATCAAGAGAAGGCATTTGATTGTGTGGGCCATAACTACCTTATAAATGTTTTGAAAGCTTTTGGGTTTGGAGAAACTTTTATTTCATGGATAAAATTATTATATAGAGGGGCTTCAGTAATGCTTAAGGTGGGAAGGGGATTGAGTTGCCCAGTACCTGTTAAAAGGGGAATAAGGCAGGGTTGTCCACTTTCTGGACAACTCTATAGCTTAGCTATTGAGCCTTTGTTAATTAAGCTGAAAAATAATTTGAAAGGTTTTCATATACCAGGAGATGTTAATGGGTCAAGTGTCTCTGTTTCTTTGATACACACCAGGACATTGTCATCAGAAAGCTTGATAAATTGCTTGTTGGGAGCTGGACTAACAAAAATAGGAAATCTGAGAGACATTAAAGGGTGGAAAACGGCTGCAGCACTACAGTGTGACACGGGGATTCGATCTCTACGTCTTCTACAGCAGGTGATAGAAGAGGTGCAAAGTGCGCTACCTGGAACCTGCAGGGAGGCACTGGAAATTCAACCGTCTCAGGATTGGGAGAAAAATTATCAGTTTCCATCCATTAGTATATCTGCAGCAGCAGATGAAAATTATGAAGATGCTGACACAATACTATCTTTTAAAACTCCGGAGATGGGACAGTTTCGTGAAGCAAGTAAGAAAGCCATCTATATTACTTGTGTTAAAGTTACCCATCAGACTGTTTTAAACCGAGTACGAGTAGGGAGGTGGACAGATGTGTTTGGGCCAGACTTTAGAGGATCCTGGAGGTCTCTGTACAAACCTCCTGTTGAGAAACGTACAGCAGACCTACAATGGAGACTTGTTCATGGTATCATAGCTACGAACAGACACGTGGCACACCTGAATCCAGCAGTGGGTAAGGAATGTCCTTTTTGTGGAATTGAAGAGACAGTTGAACATTTATTTATATATTGTATGAGGTTAGACAGTTTTTTTTATTGTTTTAAAGAACTGTTTTGAAGGTTTAAGTGAAGATTTTTCTAATCAATATTTTATTAGTGGTCCCAAATATACATTTCATAAGAGAAGAAAAGTATGCTTATTAAACTTTTTGCTGGATATGGCTAAAATGGCAATTTGGAAGACTCGAAAAAATAAGTTAATGGGTATAGGTTCAATAAATGTAGTAGATATTTTTAGAAGCATGGTGAGTGCCAGAATCAGAATTGAATACACATATTTTAGATTGATTAATGATATTCAAATGTTTTCTGAAATATGGTCCGTTGAAGGAGTTTTGTGTGAAGTTTTGGAAAATGGTATTAAAGTTTTAAAGAAATGTGTGTATTTAGAAGTATATATAGAAAAAAATGTATAAATGTGAATATGTTTGAATGGTTATCAAATGCGATTTTGTTAATTATTATATGGTCGGATAAGAAATCTGGAAAAAAGTTAAGGTTTTAATAAAAGTTGTATTAAGCCTCCCTCTCCCTCTCCCTCTATATTATAAGTATATGTAGAAAAAATGTATAAATGTTCTCTCTCTCCCTCCCTCCCTCCCTCCCTCCTGTATTGGCAGAGAAGACATCTGTAGTAAAAGGGCCTAGCTGGAGGTGATTGTTTTTCAGGAGCGCCTTCACAGATTTTGTTGTGAACTTTCCAGCAACGCTTTTAAGATGGAAATTGCAGTGAATCGTTTACTCATTCGATTCCCCTCAAGGCCAGAAACTCGGAAGCTGTTTCACCATGCACTCAGCACAACAACATGGGAGTATTTCAGCATAAAAAACATTGCTGGTGTGTGTTCATGAGAGCAAAACATGAACATGAATAGATTGATATTCTATATAAAATACTATTATTAAAGGAAGGTTACAATATCAGCACCATCTGTGACTGACCATTAAATGCTAAGTACACACATATGTAAAATATGTCAAGGCATGTATTTTATATTCAGCTAGTAGCTGGTGTACACCACATACTCATACAGAGGGCCCTGCTGTGTGTTTTCTTGGCAGAAGGCTGTAAATAACTTCAGCAGCAGATGGCAAACCAGACCAGCTTCGCTTGCAATGGAACACCAGTGAATTCTGGGAGTGTGTGTTTGTGTATGTTTGTCCTTGTGTTTGTGTATGTTTGTCCTTGTGTCTGTGACTGTTCTTCCTGTTTCAATAATATTAGATGGTCAGCAGTGGTTTTGGCACCATCCTCTAGATGCTATTGAGTAAATACCATTGGACCACACCCGGTTTCTTTTTGTAGTCCCTAAATATATTCATTTTTCATTTTGCTAGCAGTACTATTTAATTTAATTTATTTAATTATTATTTTAGTAATAATAAAACCAAAAAAGTTTTTGATATAACGGCCATAAGTAAAAATTAATTCTTCTATTCAGCAAGGATGTTTTAACTGGTCAAAAGTGACAGTAAATACATGTATAATGTTGTCTTTTGAACGTTCTGTTCATTAAAGAATCCTGAAAAAATAAATCATGATTTCCATAAAAATATTAAGCAGCACAACATTTTATAGTAATTTTTTTTTATTGTGCACTGAATCAACGTAATATGATGATTTCATGTTAGGAAAATTCAGCTTTGCCATCACAGGAATAAATCACATGATAAAAAAAGTTATGTTAAATGGTAATATTTCATATAATATATGAATATATCATGTGATACGTAATTTTTTTTTTAATCAAATAAATGTAACTTAAGTGCATACGAGTCTTCTTTCAAAAGCTTTCAAAAAATCTTACCAACCCCAAAAACGTTGGAACAGTGGTGTATTTGTAAATTAATAATTTTATTTTAGACTTAATGTGCAGCATTGGCCAATTCCAGCGTGCACAGGTAGTCAGTTATAATGAGAATGTCTTGTTTAGCCATACTGATTTGTTGTTGGTTTGACTACTAGCTACTGATGCTTGTGGTTCCTGGTTCAAGAACAGCAGATCTGAGATCATCAGAGCCAAATTTTCAGTCTTAAAATTGCCTGGTGGAAACGCCAAAGGATGGGGTGTCAGATTGGGCACTGGCTCCAGCGCCACAATTGACACCATGTCTGTGGGAAAAGGGGACATGGAATCCCAGCATTTAGAGCCTCTGGCTAACATGGAACCAGAGATATGGAGCCCCTTGACAAAGTTTTTCTAGGCTCTAACTTTCAAACCGAATGACTTGGAGGTGCCAAACATGATGGATGGGGTTGGTGTGTTGAAGTGGTTGAGAATGAGGGCTGATAAGCAGAATAAACGGTTTCAACACTTGATATTTTGTGCTTAAAGACCTTCTTTTCTCAACACAGGAACGTTCCGCTGTACCTTCTGTCAAACAGAAGTAGAGGAGGACGAATCGGCCGTGCCAAAGAAAGACGCCCGCACTTTGGTGGCTCGATTCAACGAGCAGATCGAGCCCATCTATGTATTGCTACGAGAGACAGAGGACATCAACTTGTCACATGATCTCCTGGAGCCCGAACCGTCAGAAATCCCAGCGCTAAAACAGAGGTCAGCACCTCCTGTTCAGTCAAAGTGGCCAGTCATATGCACGAGACAGTGTTGTTTTCAACTAAAACTATTAAAATTATTTATTAACGTGATGTGATGTGACCCCCCCTCCTCTCTCTCTCTCTCTCTCCCTCCTTCTCTCGCTCTCACACTCACACACACACGCATGCGCACGCACACACACACGATGCACAAAACTTCGCATTTGAACAGTCAATAGCAAATACTTAAACTAATAACAAAACAGTAGCTGATTCAGAAGCGCCAGATTGTCATAGCAAAGTCAGAATTACCTCCTCTCCTAGGTTCACTAAACGGTCGTCCATAAAATGCATTGCTGTTCTGTTGTAAGTAATCTTAAAGATTCCTAAATGCATCTACTTTCGGAAGGCCAAATAAAGTGCTTTTGCTTTCGCCTAGAAACACACAGCATCTCCCTGACATGCTGCTTCAACACTAACTGCGGTTACTGAAACCACGCCTTCTTTCTTTGCGTGCACATTTGGGCAGCATTATGCAAATATTTCCACATAGTGACGTAGATATGTGGGGGCGTGTTAGAATGAGACGTTTTAGGGGGGCGTGGCAGAGTCTTAACTTTGATAAAGAATATCTCTTTGGTTTTGAGACTTTAGTCTTTGCAACTTCAGGGATCTTATCTATGCACAATCAGCTTGTAACACTCCAAAGAGAAAGGAAAACTTGAAATCGCATCATATGACCCCTTTAAGCAGAATATCCAAGCTGCTATTGCGATCCATGCTTTTTTATTTTTTATTTTATTTACAATGACAAAAGAGTACAGTAAAAGTAGTCTATTTGAGTTGAGTTATTATTGTGCTATATTCCAGGTTTAGAGACTTCAAAAGCCATAAAATAGTTTTGCATGAGAAAGACAAATTTACAGTCCTTATTCAATGAAAAACTTTGCTTTCACCTCTGATATTTAAAAAAAAAATGTATTTGCATATTCAACACCATTGAAGAAGGATGAGAAAAAAACAAATGTACAGTTAATTTATTCTTGCATGTATCGTAGTTTATGGGTTTGAAAGTGTAGAAGTGTGGGTGAAAGTTAAGTACTTGAATGGACGGCAAGATTGTCATTGACAAACAACTTAAATTATGCCCTGTTCCTATAAAGCTGTCATATGGCATCAGAAAGGACTTGAATTTAGACAGTATAGCACATTTATGGTTAAGAAATGTGCATCTAAATTGGCCCTGTTTTTTTTCTTCTTCTTCCAATTTTTACACACCAGCTGGCGAGGACTCTATAGTAACCCAGGAGGGAATGACTGGACGAGGAGCCGCACAGGATGAGAATGAGGAGGTGATGCTGGCTCTCCTCATTCACGAGAAGAGGAGCGGAGTTGGTCCAGGAGGAGGTGCTGTCGTCTACAGACCGACCGTTCCAGCGGCTAACGCCAGCGACTCTGACAGCGATACCAGTGAATCGGATGAGGACTCGCCGCCCCGGGCTCCAGCCCACACTATGCACAACGCTACAGCACTGCGGCCAGGAAAACAAGAAGATGAGGAGGGCGAAGATGATGGTGATGAGTTCGAGGAGGTTGGGGATGACCCTGTGGTTATGGTAGGGGGAAGACCCTTCTCTTACAGGGAAGTGAGCCAGAGACCCGAGCTGGTGGAACAGATGAGCGCTCCGGAGAAAGAGGCGTACATTGAGATGGGCCAGAACCTCTTCCAGGACATGTACTTCTGAGTTCATCTTGACTGTCTGCATCACATTCGTTCTGTCTTTACCTCACTTTTGGCCGTTGTTTTTTTGTTTTTATTCACAAAATAGTTTCGATCGGTCTTCTTTGCACACTCTTAAACGGTGTTGTGCGGCGTGCCAGAGCTGAGAAATGTAGTGTTATATCTGTTAACCATTCTCCTTTTTTCTCGCCCCTCTGCCATATTCGCATATGAAACTACTCTGGTGCCAATGAAGAGTATCATACATTGGCAAACACGCAGCGCTAATTTTCCAGTTTGTTTACGGTCTTGCCACATTCAGAGACTTCCAAATGAATAGCAGTGTTGCTGCAGTGACCTCTGGGATGGTTTTACTCAAAAGAAAACTCCAAACCGCAGTATTTAGCAGGACATGCAGTTTGAAAGGAAAGACAAGCTATTTTCTTTTCGGATGACTGCCTTGACGTGATATTAAATGGAGTTTTGATGAGATGTTTGTTTAGTGTGAGATTGCTTTACTTTCACAGGAGAAATGAGCACTGTCTTCTCTGATCTCTGCCTCAATGGATCTTTTTTTTTCAGTTTGTTAGATGTTTTACAGTAATTAAAAGCTGAGTGTAAAAACTTCAGTGTATTCATGAATCTCTGTGTACAGCAACCTCAATAAAAGATGCATACGAATAGATGAGTTTCATAAACAAGAATCCTGCTGTTAGTTCACATAAATGTATTCACAGAATGGTCTTAGCAAATTGTGACACACCGTTTATTTTGTCTAGAAAGGAAAACAGGTTGTTTTTTTGCGGTGGCTGTTGCCAAAAAATGTTTGAATTGACCTCTTATATGTGATCATGTAATTGAATTGGGAACAGAGTCTCCGGGGATGTGCTTTGGTGCAGCTGCGGATGAGATGTGGGAGATGAAATCTGTGGTGCGTTGAGGCGCAGCTAGAGAGAAAACCGGATGTGCTGCCGTCACGTCACATTACAGGTGCAGCACAGCGGAGTCAAGTATGGGTATCTGTGGCTCAGAGAAATGGGTGTGTCTAAATGTAGATCGTGTTTCTGATCTGGAAGTTATGGGTTTTGTACTTTAATTTAATCCTTAAAATAGGTTTTGCAATTTAAGAAAAAGAAAAAGAATGTTATGACACACAATGTATGACAAATGTTTGAGCTGGTCAAATGTATGAAATTTTGCGACATTTACCGGTTACCAAAAGTTCGATGTTCTTGCTTCCATTGAAGCACAAGATGCTTTTTCGATCGTTCTCAAATCGTGCTGGAGAACATGATCATCAGGTTTTACACAAACTTGAGTTCATGCCGCTAGTGCTGTAAGCCATTATAATTCAACTATTCACCTAAATTGTTATGCTGATAATTTAACTAAACAAATGAGGTAAAAAATATATAAAAACGTGAATTAAGGTCTTTTCATTATTTATAATTTAAGATTCATTATTATTTATTCCTATAAATATTCAGATTTTTCATAATTTATTATTTGAAATATTGTTAAATAACACTATTTTGTGTTGCTGGGATTTTTGGTTGGGATTCTGTCCCTGTAGAGGTGAAGACAAGGCAGTTTTTTCTCCTTTCATTTATTTCCAAATTCCCCTTTTTTCCAGTGGACAAGTTGTGAAAATTAATTAAGAAATGATATTCTGAGCTTTGATGCATGTAACTTGGTGAATTGAGGATTCTGTGTACTGTGTGTGCGCTTTTTTTTCAAGAAAATGTTTCAGCTGAATTCTGTTACCATGGCTAAACATCTGTTTAACATATAAATTAATCTAAAATAAAAAGGCTTTTATTGGATTTTACATATTTATGAACCTTCCTAATATGGACAAAAGCACCCAGCTATCTGTATGAAAACAGAAACATTTGGAAACATGAAGACATTAAACATACGACTGCGACAATATGGTTTATTTGTGTTTGTCAAGTCATCTCCAGGTAATAAATAAAGTATATGAACAATGCAGTGCTAACTGACATAGAATTTATTACAGTATTGAAACTATTCTGCCTTATGTGATTAAAAAGTGTTTGTATAAGCAAATCATTGTTATTGGTTATTGTCCAGCAGTTATCTGATTTCTAAGCCAATTAAAAGCTAGAAATGAGAGAACAATTAAAGTTGACTATACACTACCAGTCAAAAGTTTTTGAACCGTAAGATTTTTAATGTTTTTTTAAAGAAGTCTCTTCTGTTCACCAAGCCTGCGTTTATTTGATCCAAAGTACAGCAAAACAGTAACATTTTGACATTTTTACTAGGCCATTTAAAATAACTGTTTTCTATTTGAATATATTTAAAAATGTAATTTATAGTGAATTCAAAGGTTTCTTGAGCAGCAAATCAGTATATTAGAATGATTTCTGAAGGATGTGACACTGAAGACTGGAGTAATGATGCTGACAATTCGAATCAAAACGCGATAAGGACTAGTGTCTGAGAATATTAAGCCGCAAAAAAGACAATATATGAATCCTGCACGTTCTGCGTATCTGTGGAAATCAGGCGCGGACTGGCCATTTGGAGAACCGGGACTATTCCCGCTGGCCTGGCAGCCGATTTGGCCCACTATTTTAATATTATTATTGTATAATTGCCTGCCGAATGTATTAAAGCGACTCTCCGCGCCTCCGCCAAACGTTTTGGATCAGAGTAGCCTAATCAACGCGAGAGAGAGAATGGAGTGGACTGTGGAAGCGCACAGGTGGAGCTGAGAAGCAAAACTAGGCCTGCTGTTCAGGGTTTCAAGTGCAGGTCAGTTCCATCTGTAAATATGCTTTTGTAGTTTTGTCTTTGTTTACTTAGCTAAGCACTTCATATTTTACTTATTTTGAGAAAACTATCGTCATATCATATACAAAGAGACACCAATGTTTCAGGAGTTTAGTACACAGAATAGGACACATGCTTATTAGATAACTGTATTAGAGTTGATATGCATTTATTTATTATTATTTTTTAATTATTTTTTTTCCCAAACCGTTGTTAGATGCAGTGTTTCCTGTAGCTATGCAAAGATTTGGCTTCAAAAACAGTATCAGTAAACTATTTCTTATGATTTTAAATCTGCATTGAACTTCAGATCAATCTAAAAGGCGGTACTAAAGTCTGATTTTGTGGTGGATGTGTTCAGTTATTATCACCTTAATTCAATGAAGGATTTTGAAAGTCTGAGTGTTGAGCACTACTGTAAGGTTAAACCTGCATGGTTTAAACAGTTGCAAATAAACATTCATTAGAAATTTAGGAAAGTAATCAAAACGTAATCAAAAGTAATCAGTTACATTACTTTAACAAAGTAATTGAAAAAGTTACACTACTATTACATTTTAAATAGGGTAACTTGTAATTTGTAACCTATTTCATTTCCAAAGTAACCTTCCCAACACTGCTTATACTGTCTTTTTACGCGTTGCATCGCGCCGCGTAAACATAAAACCATGTCTGCATTTGTGATCAGAGAAATGACAAACAACAAGCACTACTCTACACTGCCCAAAAAACTCGCTTTAAATATATAAAATATAAAAACTCTTTAAATATAAAAGACGTACTTGCAGTCTTTGAGTCAGAACAGCCGGCATTGTAGTCTACTCTCCCAGCATCAGGAAACAGTCCTCCATAAAATGTGCTGCACACATCTGAATATTTGGGTTGAAGTGTTCTGGAACAGTGTTGTAAATACAACTTAACTACTGATTTCTAGTCGGGTCCATTTTTGGAAAGCCAAACAAAGTAGTTTCGCTTTCACAATGAAACCGCGTCACACACGGCGGCCTACAGTGAGCAGAGGACGGGGGCTAGCGTGAGGAACGGCGGGAGGGTTAGAGTGAGCAGAGGCGGGTGGGCTTGAGAACGGCACAGCCGGTGATTTCGACGAAGGAGCGTCCTGAAGGACATGTGACGACTCCGGGCTGGACTCCGCTTCGTCCACGGTGAAAGCCGATCTGGCGATCCACAGCGCAAAGTTGTAGTATTTCCTCAGCGACCAGCACGGATCAGCTCCAGGCATGACGAAGCAGATACTGTCCTCTTTTGGAAGACCAAACAAAGTAGTTTCGCTTTTACAACGAAGCACACAGCGTCTTTACGACATGGCGGCGGAAACAACAAAACTACAGCGAGAATAAAAGTTACGCGTTAAAAGTGGAAGTGTACATTTATATTTCTTTGCAGCAAGTGAAAAATTTGCCCACAATTTACGGCATACTATATTTTTGGTGGAGAGTCATAGGGGAATGCAGATCTAATACCTTTTCATTGGTCAATATTTATTACTGGTTGCTTCATAAATTAATCCTATTCTTATTACTCGTTTGCCCTTTACATCTTTTTAATGAAGAACACAAAGGAGAGATGAATTCATGAAGGTTATTTTTGGATCCGATGGCCTTCTCTATTCAATTAGGAAAGCGCACACACTGTCATCTGTCAGTCATTTAAAAGCCATTAGCTGTCTCCTGCGGCTGCTTCTGCTGTGTCCAATCTGAACATGTTGCTCTTTAACTCATGGCCACTCCGTCATTAGTTACGGTGTATTGTTTACCTCTCTCTCGGTTTACTTCCAAACACACTAATTAATGTTTCTTACATTGAAAGCTGTGGGTGAGCTGAAAACGGGGGTGTTAAGGCCTGTAACAAGATAATTATATCCCCACAAGCATGTTTCAAATATTTATGTCCACCATATTTAAGTACAATACAAACAAGGGCATAATTGTACAGATATATCTATATATGATAAGATTTTTGAAAGAAATCTCTTCTCATGCAGGCTGCATTTATTTGCTTTAAAATAGAGTAAAAAGAGTAATATTGTGAAATATTATTTCACTTTAAAATAACTATTTTAAAATGTAATTTATTCCTGTGATGGGAAAGCTGAATTTTCTGCAGCCATTACTTCAGTGTCTCACGATCCTTCTGATATGCTGATTTGCTCAAGAAACATTTATCAGTGTTGAAAATCGCTGAGCTGCTTAATATTTTTGTGGAAACCATAATACTTTTTTCTTTGATGAATTAAAAAGTTCAAAAGAACAGTATTTATTTGAAATCAATAAAAATAAATAAAATAAAATAAAACTTTTGAATGGTTCGGTTACAGTACTCCAAGGAAGGCGATGAAGACGAAGATAATCCACAAAGAAAGTCTTTAATTATAATCCACACAGATACAGGAAAGGAAATAACTCAGGGTAGCAGTAAAACATGTAACACGAAACAATAACCGACTACTGAACAGAAAGAAGACTTTAAAGGAACACTCCACTATTTTTTCCGCTCATTTTCCAACTCCCCTAGAGTTAAACCGTTGAGTTTGATCGTTTTAAAATCCATTCAGCCGATCTCCGGGTCTGGCGGTAGCACTTTTAGCTGTAGCTTAGCATAGATCATTGAATCGGATTAGACCGTTAGCTAGTGATGGGACAATTGATACTGCAGCTCCGATGCAGTTTTCAAACCATTGTTGTATCACACAGTGTGCCGATGCTTGTATCGAAATGACAATACCACGTGATTGATAACATTTGAAGCTTCCAACGTCATGCAGTATCAGAAGGTCGGGACAGCTGGTTTGAAAAAACTGGCGCTTCACGATCCCATGCATAAAAGGATTATTCAGTCACTTTGAGGGCTGTCAGTAGGACATTTA